TAACGTCAGGCCTCGTCACGTGGTCAGTCTGAGCCAATCAGCGGCTCTCCTCCGGTGTCTTTGTGGCGCTCGCGCCAGCCTCTCCTCCTCCCCGATGACTCGGTGGGATCGCTCCGCCATCTCCGTTAACAGCATCGACATTAGCGGCCGTACGGCGGAAATAACCGAACGGTGACGGGATGCCTGCGCGGGTCCGGGAAATTATTCTGAACATCGCGGTACAACCGGAGAGGTTTCAGCGCATTTCCGCCGGGTTTTAGTGAAAATATCCGCGATTACCGGTGGGCGGGATGGAGGAAGAAAATGTCTGTCTCGGATTCTCGCATTTCCCTCAGATCTGGTCATCGCGTCGTTTTAGCGGCCAACACGCCGCATCCTGCTCTAAATCAGCTGAAGTGTGCGGCGATACATTAAATCTGGGTCTTTGGGAAATAATTACCAAGAAAAAAAATGGCGTTGATCGTCCCCTCCTTCCTCCGAGGTTTTCCCGAAAGTTCGGAATGGTGGCGGCAAACGCGCAGACTCCGCAGCGCGTGCGATTTTTTTTTTTTTTTTTTCTCTTCTTGAACGCGCAACATTTTGATTCCGCTGCGCGCCCCCTGCTGGCCTGGATACTGCAGTACACTGTCTAAAAACTTCAACATACTCTGTAATTGCTATTACTATCAATTTGGGGGGTGTTTATTAGACATAAAAGTTTAATTTGACAATTGAGAAAATCAACATAAACATTAACAAATTAAAAAGTAGGGCTAGGATTACCAAAAAGACCTTTGCGGAGATAAAATCTTTAATTTTATGTCGAACGCCACTAGCCTAACAACTATCGCTGTAACGATTAAAATGTTAATATATAAAATAAACTTTTATACTTTTATTCATAGCATACAGCCCCTCCTCAGTCCTTAAGGAATTTATAAGACCAAAAATGTAGCACTTTTCTTTATTGTTTCATAAACCCAGTTCATGACAAAAACACCAACATGTACACGCATTGTGTCACTTTGTCCCGAATACTTCACATCAAAGTAAAAGGTCAAGAATGTGAGCAAGACGAAAACAGTATCTTAACAAAACAAACTGGTTTTCATAATAAACGTGTGCACAAACACAACATGTAATCTACAGCAAATGCTATTATTTATAGGATTTGGCATTTTTCGAATAGATCTTGATGCGCTTCTACAAACCACTGATGAACATGATCCCGTCACGATTTCCTATTTCATTGTTTCTGTTTTTATATTTTTATTCCATGTGCTGTAATTATATCTTGTTACTTTTTATTGGATGTCGTGATCTTTTTGTTAAGCACTTTGGTAACAGCTTCCGTTTTAAATGTGCTCTATAAATAAATCTGACTTGACGTGGTTTCATAATTTCAGGCCTCATGATGAAAGATGGAGAAGCAGGAAGTAGCGGTTCCACGCGTGTCCGCTTGGTGTCGCCAGAGAGCTGTCTCCGAGGATAAATAGCGTTTTATTTGCTGCATGCAACACCCAGCGCGGCCTCCAGAGGGCGCCATCACACATTCAACACCTGGCTTTAAACATTTAGGAGGAAAGGGGGTGGTTTTCTTTTTTAACCTATTATTTGAAGTTTTTTATGAGAGCATATTCTAAATAAAGACAGTTATCCCTTGAAATTTTTTTTTTTTTGAAAGTTTAAAACGCACGCAAACCCCAAAGAGGCCACTTAGTTAATCTCCCCCGCGCTCATCGTTTTTTAAATATTTTTATATAGTCTGCTTTTGTTTCTGGTGGTTCTGCTGCAATGGTCCACTCTCTCTGCAGGGATCTATAAAGCTGCCCAGGACCTAAACTCTGTCCGGAGTGACAGCAGAGTGTAAACAGCAAATGTGTCAGTGATGCAACAAAACTACGATTCCAAATGAGAAACCTGAATTCATTTAGCACGAGAGCCACACCTCAGAGATTACGGTCACCTCACTAATGAGCATCTTATCCCCTAAGGGATCGTGGAGACAAACAGTGGCAGCGCGGGGTTCTGCAGACAGGAAGGCAGCCCTCCTATCGTTTCATGAGGTTGTTCGCCTGCTGGTTGGCAGCGTCGATCCGGGACACGTTGAGATTCGCCTGCAGAGACACACAGAGGCAGAAAAATAGGACACGGAGCAGCATGAGTCGAGATGGTTCAGCTGTGGAAAGGTTTTCATCACATGCTGAAGTATCAGATTTATAGATGTGAAGTTCGTGCAGCTGATCGGGTTTTGGTGGTTTTACGTTTGCATCAAATAGGAATTTTGATTTGTTTCTGCGCGGACTGAGCAGGACAGTTTCACGGATAAAAAGCATTACTGTATCCCTGAACCTTCCAGAGCCTGCATGTTCAGGTGGGTGTAGTCCTGCTGCGCTCCAGTTGGTAATCAATGCCAAGTCCTGCAAACCTCAGATAGTTTTCCTGACTGAATATAAATCAGGAGGCTTTGATCAGCAGCCATGTCTGCGTGTTTTGTTCTGCTACACTTTGTGGTAGTCGGACTCTGCAGCAGTGGTGCAGCATGAACCACCGGTGGTTCTCCGTGACATAAAGTGACGATAAGTTTGGAGTTGGTGTGGCGGCGTGGCCTCGGTACCTTTCCCCGAATACGATCGATCTGATCGTTCTGTGATTCCAGCTCGTTGCCGATGTCCAGAGCCATGCTCTTCAGGTTCCCCACAATGCTGCCCACATGAGCCAGGTTCTCCTCCATCTCGTCCTCACGGGCATCGTCGGTCACCCTGAAGCACAGGAGAGGTTTAAGGACAGACCGCAGGGGATGATGGGAGTTTTTGTCTGTTTTCCTGTTTGACCAGCTGCTCCTGAGACTGAACCACCTGTCAGGTATTTGTAAAGAAAGGCAAACACTGCTCAGTAAACTCTGTACCTGCGGATGTATCCTCCGCTCATGATCATTTGCTCTCGCTCATCGATGACCCGGGACGACGGCGGCTGATTGGACACGACCCCATCCTGACTGGAGGCTCCGCCCCAAACCGCCTTGTAGGCCCCGCTCTCTTCAAAGGCCTTGAGTCTGAGGGGGACAGACCGAGCTCATGTAAGGGTTTTTATTTACCCAGCCTGCACCCATCCTCATTCTGCATCTGACAGGCTTCACGTGTCCATCTGTCAGAGTGAAGAACCTGTGAGGCGGGACGGGTCCAGAACGGGTCACGTTCCACAACAACAAACATGGTGTCTGCAGCGCGGCGAAGCAAGTAGGCAACAAAAACAGCAAAAATGGAGACAGCTGCTGAAAACTGAGGCTCGTTTTCAAATTAAGCCGGTTAATAATTAACAAACACTTAGTGCCGCTGGTTGAACGTGTCGCTCAGTCGCAGGTCGGTATTTATTCAACAGAAACACACCTGCACCTACTTCTCACAGGTGCAGAGGCCGCAGCATTTCCCCAGGTCTGTCAGGTTTTTCTCTGCCTCCTTCATGTCAGAGTTGATCTGATCCAGACCCTCCTCCACACGCTCCAGCTGCTCTATGGGACGAGGAGGAGGACAACGACGAAGGAGTGGAGGAAGGCCAAGCAAAAACCACATAAAAAAAAAAGACATTTTCACAGAAGCTGCAAAAGTCAACTGAAAAAAGCAACTTAAAAACTAAAAGTCAGCTAAGAAATCATAAAAGCATCACTTTGCGTCAGCTTCTACTACAAACAGGCCACAGTCAGGAGTTCTGTTTGCACCTGGTGTCCAGTTCCATCAGGTTCCTCTCAGGGACTGTTCAGACCCGTCGTTAAAATCCATCCTGAGTGATGGAATAACGCTAAGCACAGATGCACACTGAAAATGTCTTCAATCAGTCCGGCCAGGGCTTAATTTGAGCCGGATCCTGCCAGAACAGGATCCGGGAACGCTCTTATTTTGACAGGTTGCGTTACGGTAACTGCTGGGATCCGGTAACTCTCAGGCTTAATAATAATAAAATTATGAACAAATTTGACTGCCTGGAACAAATAAAACCTATATTGGATATGTAATCTGAAAATAATTACATAAACACTAATTTTAAACATAACAGCCCTTACGAGCTTCCGAACATCACATCAGGGCTGCTCCTTCAAGTAAACATTTCTGCTTCTACCCTTAAATAAATCTCAGCCCCTAAAAGTTGTGGGCAGTTTGACTAAAACACAAAAATATAATTAAACAGAACAACTAAATTGCAAATCAGTTTTACAGTTAAAGTGGGTCAGTAATAAAATTTTGATTATTTATTAAAAAATATGAGATAAATATTTGATGGATAATCATGTGACGTACATCACGTATCAAAACAACGGCACCAATTTGTCAAAATAACAGCGATCAAAATGTCGAAAAGACAGTCAAGTTTACTTTAATTTAAAAAGTTTTCTTATTGTGCAACTAAACGACCAGGAATTGAAGCACCTGAAGGCAGTGGAGATACTGGAGCAGGTGTGTGAATATGTGAGAGAAGCGGAGCGTGCTCTATTCACACGGGGGGCGCTTGTTGGTCAGGCTACATCTTGTTGCTCTCTGTAGTAGTTCCCGAATCATGTTTATAAATGTAGGTAAACGTAGATGTTTAACAATCCATTAAAATACATCAGAATGCAGGAAATGACATCTACTTTATTCAAAATCTTCTGGGGGAGGAGCCCCAGACACCTTACCCCCACTCCCTTGGGCTATTTGCATTCCGGCATTGTTTTGTTTACAAATTAAGCCCTGAGTCTGGTCTTCTTTTTTCTGTGTACATTTGGTGGTCCGAACACGTCCTGCCTCCTGCTGGACTGATGTGAGCCCACACAGGTATCAGACTTATTACCTGCACATCTCAGGGTTTAAATAAAGCTGCTTTTTTAAACCAAACGTTTCTCTAACGTGATTGGTCGGAGCTCATTGGAAACCCTGAAGCTCATTCTCCAGTTTTGTTGTTAGAAGATTTCTTTAAATGGAACGGGGCACCAGCAGGCGAGTGCAGCTTTGGGTCCTGAACTCTTGGACGTACTTCCTGAGGGGCCAGATACACAGACCACAGCACTGGGCCATGTCTGTCAGGTTCTTCTCGGCCTCTCTCATGTCCCTGTTGATGGACTCCATGCCCTCCTCAATCCGCTCCAGCTGCTCTGAGGAACGGCAGGTTCACGGAGGGGAGGGATTCAAACATTAAATACTCAAAATACAGGTGCTGGTCATCAAATTAGAATATCATGAAAAAGTTTATTTATTTCAGTAATTCCATTCAAAAAGTGAAACTTGTATATTGTATTCATTCATTCCTCACTGAGGGAACACTGCAGGTAATAATGTCCTGAGAGCGCACGCTGTAGCTGCACTCACGCAGAGACATGTAGGAGGAGATGTATGAAGGCACGTATTTAATGTTGATGATTATAACCGACAACTAATGAAAACCTCAAATTCAGTATCTCAGAAAATTAAAATATTGTGGAAAGGTTCAATATTGAAGACACCTGGTGCCACACTCTGATCAGCTGATTAACTCAAAACACCTGCAAAGGCCTTTAAATGGTCTCGGTCTAGTTCTGTAGCTACACAATCATGGGGACGACTGCTGACTTGACAGTTGTCCAAAAGACGACCATTGACATCTTGCACAAGGAGGGCAAGACACATGAGGTCATTGCTAAAGAGGCTGGCTGTTCATAGAGCTCTGTGTCCAAGCACATTAATAGAGAGGCGAAGGGAAGGAAACGATGTGGTAGAAAAAAGTGTACAAGCAACAGAGATAACTGCACCCTGGGGAGGATGGTGAAACAAAACCCATTCAAAATGTGGGGGAGATTCACAAAGAGTGGACTGCAGCTGGAGTCAGTGCTTCAAGAACCACCACGCACAGACGTATGCAAGACATGGGGTTCCAGCTGTTGCATTCCTTGTGTCAAGCCACTCTTGAACAAGAGACAGCATCCGAAGCGTCTCGCCTGGGACTGCTGCTGATTGGTCCAAAGTCATGCTCTCTGATGAAAGTAAATGTTGCATTTCATTTGTAAATCCAGGTCCCAGAGTCTGGAGGAAGAGAGGAGACACAGAATCCACGTTGCTTGAGGTCCAGTGTCAAGTTTCCACAGTCAGTGATGGTTTGGGGCCATGTCATCTGCTGGTGTTGGTCCACTATGTTTTCTGAGGTCCAAGGTCAACGCAGCATCTACCAGGAAGTTTTAGAGACTTCCTGCTGCTGACCAACTTTATGGAGATGAAGATTTAATTTTCCAACAGGACTTGGCACCTGCACACAGTGCCAAAGATACCAGTACCTGGTTTAAGGACCATGGTATCCCTGTTGTTAATTATCCAGCAAACTCTCCTGATCTTAACCCCATAGAAACTCTATGGAGTATTGTGAAGAAGATGATGTGATGCACCAGATCAAACAATTCAGAAGATCTGAAGGCCACTATCAGAACAACCTGGACTCTCAGAACCTGAGCAGAGACACAGACTGATCCACTCCATGACACGATGCATTGATGCAGTGATCCAGACACAAGGAGCAACAACTAAGTACTGATGCTGAACATGTTCATACTTTATATTCATACTTTATGTTCATACTTTATATTCATACTTTATATTCATACTTTATGTTCGTACTTTATGTTCTTACTTTATGTTCATACTTTTCATTTGGACAACATTTCTAAAAATCATTTTTTATTGGTCTTAAGTAATATTCTAATTTTCTGAGATTCTGAATTTGGGTTTTTTATTAGTTGTCAGTTATAATCATCAACATTAAAATAAATATACATTTGAAATATATCAGTCTGTGTGTAATGAATTAATATAATATACAAGTTTCACTTTTTGAATGGAATTACTGAAATAAATCAACTTTTTCATGATATTCTAATTTATGAGCAGCACCTGTACATCAATGCCTTCCATCAATAAAAAGATTATAAAGATCATTAACTTTAAATAACCTGTAAACATTGATTCATAAGCTCATAAAAATTAATTACAAAAAATAAGTACTTTAATATTTCAGCATTGTCATCTATGATAAAACAAAATACACAATAATCAATCAAATAATCAGAAACTGTCAAATTAAATTAACTCCCATTAAGTGGATTTAATTAATTTTTAATTGTTGCTGCATTTTTACAAACAAACAAAAAATCATCTTTTCTTTGGTTGTGATAATCAGGATTAATCTGTTTTACAGCTATAAACGTTCAAACTTCAGAAACGAGACTATTAAACTGAGAAACGCTAAAAAGCACTAAAAAATGGAATTAAGATGTAATTGTTTCTGATTTTATAAAACATAAACTTAATGTGTTGTACAGTTTAGATTGTAGAGGATTCAAGTGTTTCCGTGACGATGTAGAGGAAGTGAATCTTACCTCCTTGTTCGTCTAACATCACCACAGTCCTGATCCCGAGGTCTTTACTCTGCAGGAGGAAGAACACCAAACTCTTCCTCATCACTCAGAAATCAACTGAACATTGTTAAACCACTGACAGCTGCATCTCTACTTTACAATATCATGGAAGAACTCGTTTATTTCAGCAATTCAGTAAAATAAATAAAATAAAACTCACATATTATAAAGATTCATTCCAAGAAGAGAGTTCATTTCTGTGTTTATGACTAATGACAAAACTACATTTAGTTTCTCAGAAAATTAGAATATTACAGACAACATATCCTGAGTGATGGGTACACGGATCGGGCCTCCTCAGTAATGAGGGTGTTGCTTTGGTCAGTTGTGGTGAATAGAGTTGAGTATAAAGGGGAGGAAGCTCTGGATTTATTGATGATCCTGGATCCAAGCAGCTGAAATGAACTTCTATAGGGTGTGTGCATGTGTGTGCGTGCGTGTGTGTGTGCGTGTGTGTGCGTGTGCGTGTGTGTGTGCGTGTGTGTGTGCGTGTGTGTGTGTGCGTGTGTGTGTGTGCGTGTGCGTGTGTGGGTGTGTGTGTACCTCCTCCACCAGCTGAACCATCCGCCTCGTGCTTTCCAGAGACTAAAATAAAATAAATAAATCACTTCAGTTTACGTTTGATAACTTTGATTCTACAAACAGCAGCTTCACTTGTAAAACTTTACGTCCAAGTCAACACAAATTAATTTTGCGTTTCGAGTTTTTACTGAAAACGTCTGATTTGAAATCAGTTCATGAATTTAACTATGAATAATCCACATTTAAATCAGGGAGATAACAGAACCCCAGAGAGCGTGCAACCACGGCTCGTTCACAACAAATATTCAAACTATGAGCCTCAACGGTGCCTGACAGGTTGCTAGTTTGAGTCCCTGATCAGCATGGTGTTTGCGTGCTGGGCGGTTAACGATCTGCCTGCTGTTAGGTGTTTCTGAGGAGCCCTGGAGCAAGGCACCAAACCCCCCACCTCCTGCCCCGGAGTTGAAAACAGCTTCTTGAGACGGTCTCTGTGTCTCCATCATGTCTGTCCCCGAGGACGCCCCCCCCTCCCCCTCCAAGGGCGTGTGTGTTTAGAACTGACTCACACTGAATATGACCTCATCTGAACCTGATGTCCCTCTTCTAACAGTTGCCATGGGAGACCAGCCATCTCCATGGCAACCAGGTGAGCCAGGTGTCGTTAAGCACCGCCCCCCTCAGATTTAGAACCGGTTCTGATGCCTCATCTCCTCTGCTGTGTGTCATTTGACTGGGCTGCCGTAGTTATGTTTTACATTCACAGTCAGTTGCTTTAATATGGAAGCTGTTCTTTTTAGCTAAGACAGAAGTTTATTAAACAATAATTATTGTGTTATATCAAGAAAACAAACTTTTCCAGGTCAAAACAAACAACTTTCTGTGAAACTTCTATGAAGGTACAACAGGTTACAAAGTGCTAAAGAAGCTGAAACTGAGCAGTCCAAGCTAAAAGAGGCAGAATACGAGCTAAAAGCTAATTGTAGCATAAGCTAGGACAACCATTACCTCATCTGTGACCTGATTGGCTCTCTTTTGTAGCTCCTCCTGCTCTGTGAGGTTGGACGGGTCCATGTGGCTGTCAGACATTTTTCTCTGTGTGTTCAGTCCCAGGTGATCGGATCGAGCTGCACCTCTGAAGGAGATGAGACAAAGTGATGCTGAGACGAGTTTTACAACAAGCCAGACATTTTAAATGTTGCTGAGCATCAAACCTGCACCTGAACTGAGACTGTCAGGTCTGGTTGGAGGCAGGAACCCAGAAAAAAACATTTATTATGAAAATGAAAACAAAAGGCTGGCAGCTTCAACAGAATACTCTGAAGGAAAGACGTCAGAGGAAATCCATCCATCCATCCATCCATCCATCCACCCATCCATCTATCCATCCATCTATCCATCCATCATCTTCCGCTTGTTCCAAAGTCGGGTCTCGGGGACAGCAGCTTGAGCAGGGAGGTCCAGACATCTCTCTCCACAGCCTCTTCCAGCTCTTCTGGGAGGACTCCAAGGTGTTCCAAGGCCAACTGAGAGACGTAGTCTCTCCAGTGTGTCCTGGGTCTTCTCCAAGTCAGACATGCCTGAACCACCTCAACTGGCTCATCTGGATGTGGAGGAGCAGTGGTTCTACTCTGAGTCTCTCCTGATAACTGAACTTCTCACCCTGTCTCTAAGGGAGAGTCCAGCTCCTGCAGAGGAAACTCATTTCAACCTCCTGGATCCACGATCTCATTCTTTCAGTCTCTACCAGAGTTCATGACCAGCGGTGAGGGGAGGAACGTAGACCAACCGGTAAACAGAGAGCTTTGTCTTACAGCTCAGCTCTCTCTTCACCACAAAGGACCGGTACAGAGTCCACAATACTGCAGATGCTGCACCAATCTGTCAATCTCACGCTCCATTCTTCCCTCACTCATGAACGAAACCTTGAGATACTTGAACTCCTCCACTTGAGGCAGAACCTCACCCTCAACCTGAAGAGAACGATCCACCTTTTTACGACTGAAGACCACGGCCTCAGATTTGGAGGTGCTGGTTCTCATCCCAGCTGCTTCACACTCGGCTGTGAACCGCTCCAGTGAGAGCTGAAGATCACGGCACGATGACACCAACAGGACCACATCATCTGCAAAGAACAGAGATGAATCCTGAGGCCACCGACTGGACTCCCTCCACCCCCTGACTGCACCGAGAAATTCTGTCCATAAAAGTTATGAACAGAATCAGTGACAACGGGCAGCCCTGGTGCAGTCCAACTCCCACCCTGAAGGGGCCCGACTTACTACCGACGATGAGAACCAAACTCTCGCACCGCTTGTAGGGACTGAACAGCCTGTAACAATAGGCCTCCAATCCCATACTCATGGAGCACCCCCCACAGTGTATCCTGAGAAACACAGTCAAAAGTCTTCTCAAAGTCCACAGAACACATGTAGACTGGATGGGCAAACTCCCATAACCCCTCGAAGACCTTAGTGAGGGTAAAGAGCTGATCCAGTGTTCCATGGCCAGGACAGAACCCACATTGTTCCTCCTGGATCTGAGGTTCAACCAACGATCGGAATCACTTCTCCAGTACTCCTGAACAGACCTTATCAGGGAGGCTGACTTAGAGTGAGCATATCCTTCGGTCCTCCTTTTTGAAGAAGGGAACCAACAATCCAGTGGCACTGCCCCCGATGTCCACGCGATGTTGCAAGGGCGTGTCAACCAAGAAAGCCCCACAACATCCAGAGCCTTAAGGAAATCAGGGTGAATCTCATCCACCCCCAGAGCCCTGCCGCCTCGGAGCTTTTTAACTACCTCGGCGACCTCAGGCACAGTTATGGACGGATCAACCCCAAATCCCCCGACTCAGCTTCCTCCATGGAAGACGTGCTCGTGGGATTTAGAAGATCTGAGAAGTATTCCTTCCACCTCCCGACAACATCACTGGTTGAGGTCAACAGCACCCTACCTTCACTGAACACAGTGGTAGTGAAGTGCTGCTTTCTCCTCCTCAGCCGCCTGGTGGTTTGTCAGAATCTCCTCGGAGCTGACCGAGAGCCGTTATCCAGGGTCTCACTGAACTCCTCCCACACCTGAGCTTTTGCCTCAGCAAACAGCCAAGGCTGTGGACCGCTTGGCCCTCCGGTACTCCTCAGCTGCCTCCAGAGTCCCACTGGCCAACAAGGCCCGATAGGACTCCTTCTTCAGCTTGACAGCCTCCCTGACCCGGGGTGTCCACCACCGAGTTCGTGGATGGCCACCGCGAGAAGCACCGACAACCTTGCGGACACAGCTCAAGGAAACTACCTCAACAAGCGAGGCGCGGAACATATTCCATTCAGACTCAATGTCCCCCACCTCAGATGGGATGTGACGGGTTCTTCTGCCAGGCGTCAGAGGAAATCACCATCAGAATGAGGTATGATACCTACAAAGCCCACAGGTGAAGTGGGCGGGGCAGGTTGACAGGAAACACACTGAGGATGGAAGAGTGTCACCGATAACAAAGTGCAGCTGAGCAGCAAATAACGCCACACGAGCGTCCCAAATAAATGATCATACACAAAACACCATAAATAACCAACAGAACACAGATGTTTTATTTAAACCTCACATTGTTCTCAGACAGCCTAGCCTGACCTTTGACCCTGGACATTTCATTTTAATGATATTAAAAGGTTAAAAAGTCTCGTGCGGTCATAAAACCTGTCAAACGTTTCAGATTAAGATTTTCTGCAGTTATAAATTAATTCCCTCCTCCTCCGAGGTCACATGACCCGCTGACCTCAGGCAAGTGTTCTTAATTATCACCTGAAGATGATGCAGATAAAAACATCCACCCTCACACGTTTCTTTTCCAAGTCCAGTTCTTCTTAATTGGACCCAGCAGTTAATTAATCACCTCCTCCAGGAGTACAGAGGAGGATGAAGAGGAGGAAGAGTCTTCGTCTGCTGAGTCCCATTATTAAACTTCCTTTGATCCAAGACAATTGATGTTTTATTTATGATTGGTTTTATGGAAAATAAAACATTCTGCTCATGAGACTCACATCATCAGTTATCGCCTGCAGCTGAAAAAGGTGCTGTCATGTTTTCACCTGTCTGTCTTTGGCTGTTAGCAAAATATCTCATCAGCCACAGGATGGATTATAATGAAAAGCTCAGCAAGTACTCACTGACTGAACATCTACAGCTGATCCGTTTGTTGGCGGACTGACTTCAACCGACACAAAGAATTTTACAGATAAATCTCACATTGTGTTAATTTTCAAACCAAAAATGTCTCTAGATTTCTACCACAGATAAGTTTAGTAGAAAACTCTGACATGAAAGGCAGCGGCTTTTCTTCCAAAGGATTTTCTGCTGGTCTGAGGATGTTGATCTTCTCAGAAGCTGCTCAGAAGATCAACATCATCAGGCCAGGACTCTGAGGTCTACACTCATCTCCAGGTCAGAGGTCACTCTTTCAGGGATGAAGATGTTCACATCCTGGATAGAGAGGTATACACACACACACACACACACACACATATATATAAATACACACACAAACCGGATTCCCAAAAAGTTGGGACACTAAACAAATTGTGAATAAAAACTGAATGCAATGATGTGGAGGTGCCAACATCTAATATTTTATTCAGAATAGAACACAAATCACAGATCAAAAGTTT